CGACGACGCGGCAATTTTCATTATAAAGAGTTTCGAATGTAATACTTGAACAATACTGCGCTGTGCAAATCAATTAATTATTACTTAAATTACTATTTTGTATCAAAGTGAGCACTATGTTACAAGATACATTTTCGCTACTCGCATTTCGTCGGCGCTGAGCTCTTAAATTTTCACCCGGTTCGCATTTTTGGGCTTTCCATTTCGATGACAGGCCAGCCGCGCAAATTAAAAGCGCAGCGTGGGCTCGCCGCGGGCAAACAATTTACCGTGGTCGCGACGAAATATTTGCTTCCTCATAAACAAACCTGGTGATCCAATTTGTGCGGGATGCATTTAGTTGGTTTCAGCGCATCGCGTAAGTTGTCGATACGTTATAGCAGTGAACGTTAATGAATCATTAAAAAAAGACTAAAAAGATCTGCAGTTACAATTTCTCACGAATTTTATTATTGTCAGCATACAATTTTTATTTGTTACAGTCGCAAATAGAAAAAATACACTTTATTTATAAAATGAATATGCATTTAGTGTTAACGTAATATTAATACATCAGTATTAACTCTTAGCATTAAATTGAATTAAATTTATTGGAACATTGCGTGAAGAATCTATAAATACTTGATGGAATATCCTGCTTATAAACTAAATATTTTTATCACATACACAAACCTTCAGTTCCTCATGGCAATGAGAATCTTTATATTAAATGCCATTATTGAGAAATTGTTATTATTTAATAAAGGCGCTTTTATCTCAATATACGAGGAATCACTTTAACAGTTAACGTCAGAGAGAATTTTCCGTTGATTTTATATCGTTTGGTTTTGATTAAAGTTTCTATCTTGTGCTTACGCATAATACGTCCGTACATACATAGAACATAAAAACAGCGCAACATATATTTCTTTACGATCGATTTGACAAAGGAATCAGTAAGTCGCAAGACAAAACGAGTTCGTAGATCCGAAAAAGTCTGTTGACACATCGGCTGAGCGCCGATCATGCCGCAGCCGTTACAATGCAATGCTATGTATCGGGTATCCGCGAATCATGCGATACGTACACCTTACGTGTAACGCATCACGCGCCACGCATACGCCACATAGATTACCACGTTACGACCAGCCGATAGGACTCTAAGCGAGATAGGCAACTGAGCCTCGAGCGTGCGTCACGAGGCGACACATTCTCGACATATCTTAGAATTCGACAACAAATGTAAACTATCAAAATCTAGGTACGTATAATTACATGTAATTTAGTTTTTTACGTTGTTATTTTTTCGAAGCATATAAGGTTGACACGTTTGTTGATTTTATCAGAACGCTCACCATTTCGAAGAAAACGTGTCCTCTGGTATACAAGCTGGATGGTTGTGTCAAACAAATAAAAGCTTTCATTGGATATTTTTATAATAAAAAGAAAAAAAGGACGCAGAGTGACTGAAATATATTCTTAGTTAGATATATTTTTAAATTTTCTTGTGTCAGGCATTTATATATCCTTTGCAGGAGATTTTACACTTCCTAAAATATCTTTAGTCTACAGCATCTTATATTAATGCTCAATGTTAGTTCGAGATAATCCAATAATTTGAGGAATTTTATTTTTAAGCCATTACTTATGGTATATTAAGGAATTTAATAATTGACCGCGACTACTGAAATAACCCACACGAATCGATGTTTAATTTATGTGCGACTTTACTCGGCTCGCGGCTGCCTACTTGAATCGTTAATATCCATCGGCTCTAATTCAACTCAACGGAGTTGCGCGAGTTTCTTGTCTTTGTTCCCTTGCTGCGCGGCGCGCGATGGTTTAGTGATTGTGATGAGAACGCGTCCCGGCGTAACGGTAGAGACAGTCGGAAAGACAGGCACTTCCCTACCAGATCTTACCACCTTGCATAATGCATCGCACGACGCCACTAAGTCAAAGGGGAAACTTCCCTGACGTGAAACGCCAGGGACACACACGTCCCTTTTCCACTCCTCTCTTCCTTCCTTATTGTTCAGCAGCCCGGTTGCAAATCCCTCTATTGGGTTTCGACCTGTTTCATTCTCCCTCGACTGTTTCTATCTCTCACTATGCATCAATTTCATTGTTCGTTAATTGCTGAAATATTTATTGATCCGTCGCCGCCTGTCACGGATTTTATAGATAGACGTACGTGAAATTATGACCGATGCGACATGGCAATCCGTATATAGTGAGTGAACTGTCTGGTTATTGAAACGAACGCGTTTGAGCTCTTGTACCGTGAATATAAGAATAAAAAATGGTTAATGGTCGAATGTTGGTTTATGCGTAAAAATTTCCTCCATATCGTCAACTGGGGCATAAAAGCCCGTAGGAATTTCTCATGCAAAGATAATTGACATTTTAATCAAATTGTTATACGCATTAGCGCGATCGAACGTGCGTGATTTTCGTTCGCTTCGAATTTGCCTGCGTTGAGTTCCACAGAGGAACACGGTGCGGTACGTTAATTCCAAAATCCTGTGAAGCGCACTTCGACCATCGTCATCTTGTATGTATCACGTCGTAGTTGCGTAGACGCTACGTGCGCGGACGGTGGTATAGTAATCTACTTCACGCGAAGTTTCTGCCGAGCTCGAGTTAAGTCGGCCGCGTCGAGTAAGCCCCCGGTGTTACCACGGCTGATGAGTCCGGGACACTTTGGGGGTACGGTTACCGAAAGACGACACGTTCTCGTCGCATCACGATAGAAAGTCACTTCGCCGACTTCGGTACGGCGTATCCGGCGACCGCTTTCTTGATACCGACTTTCGAGGTTCCGATCGTATCGCCGACAGTGTCGGATTCACTTCGTTTGCCGCGCAAAACTGATTTTCTGTTTGTTTTAACAAAAAGTTGATTTTAAGCTGGGCACACTTCACTTTTTATAAATTTGTATCTTATAAATTTATACAATTTTATTATACTTCCGCAAATCTATTATAAAATCTTATAATAGATAATAAGAGATAAGTCTATGATTGATGCGACGTTATAAAAAACAAGAAAATAACGTAAATTAAGAATGATAGTTTTGTTGAAAATTAAATAATAGTTTTCTGAAAACTTTAAACTTACGATTTTGGAACTATATGTTTTAAATGACAATGAATTATATATTGTTACTGGTGCGACAGTTATAAAATTAGGATCATTGAAGATTTTATTTAGAAAGTATTTTGCATTAATTATGTTTTATGAGTATGAGTTTTAGATTATATAACAGATAATCTGCTATATATATTTAATATGTATGTCTATACGTAACATTAACACAGAGCTGAATTAGCTAACTCTAGCGTACTTTGATGTTCTAAATTTTACATGCATTACGAAGAGCGATAATCATATAACTTTGTGTCATACCACTAGTTAACTTAGAAGGCTTAGAACTGAGGGGAGTATGTACTTCGTGAATGCGCTTATTCGGTACTATATAATGAACTTTCAGTGGTCACAGTTTAACGTTAATGGTATCTTATACACTTACACAATAAAACTTAAACGCTGCCACTGTATTAGTCAAAATCTTTGCATATTTATATTATTTATAACTAAAATTTGCTTTCCTAAAAGGTTTTTAGTCTATAGAAATGTCTCGTAATACCTTGTAATGTGCCGTATCGCATATTGCTATTGTATGCATAGCAATAACAGAATCTATTTCCAATCTCAAGAGCATTAAATCAGTGTTCCAAAACATATTTGTATATCGTCGGTTGTATTATATCGAACAATACACTACTATCAACATATAATATTTTTAAATTCGAGATTAAAACAAATTCTTCTTTTATTAAATGGTTTAACAACTCAAAAACAAACGTGTTTTTTAAACATTAAATCGAGTTCAGTCATATATACACATAAACTATTGTATCGAATCCTAATCTTCTAAAAATAGCTAAAATCGATTTTTTTCTATGACATTCTTTATTGATGTGAAAATCATGGAGCGTCGTTGGTCTATTTAAAAAGTTAGATGTATTAGTACATTTTCAGAAGGACAGAGAGAGAGAGAGAGAGAGAGAGAGAGAGAGGAGGGAGGGAGGGAGAGAAAGAGTACGAAGACATATAAATTTATAAACATCACTTTATACTCAGTACTTTGCACACATATAATTGTAATTTAAATAATTCAATTCTGAAGGACATAAGTGCAATTAACGAACATTATAATATGAATGTTAATGTCAGTTATAATAATTAGTTGAATATTTTTACGATAAGTCTGTTTAAATTATATTGTATAATTATGGCTCGTAGTAATCTTTCCAAGGACACTAGCACATATATACATACATTTAATTTTATTTTTTAATTCTAATATTATTGAGAAAGGGAAAACTAACAATATTTACTACAATATTTTTATTTTTTCCACTCTTTTCTTCTTTATTTATAATTGCTACAGATTTTAAAATTGAATAAAGTATAACTAAAGAACTTTCTAACTTCAAAAATTCGTCTGTGAAAAAGTTAAATAGAGAAATCGGGAGTGATGATATTGATATCTCGACGGCATCTAGTATAAAAGCATGTTATCAAATTGCATTAAATAACTTTACTGATCGATTTCAATTTAATTATTATATGCATCATATTAAATCTGGTAATTGGAGACATATACTCAAGATAATTATATGTATAATTAAAATTTTTATTATTAGAACAATTAACTGATAGATACGTGGACACATGTACGTAATATTGTTGCAATAGCATATTGTCGTGTAGTATTTTAAATGCAAAATGATTTAATATCGCGTAATATTATAAAATAATTACTAATTTATTAATATCATTTTAGAATAATTGCAAAGATTTCTTTATTTTTGATTTTTAAAGATAGTATTGCTAATTTAATCAAACTTTGAATAACAGAAAGAATATAAAAGTAAATGAAAATTAGGACAATTAGTTAAATTAATTGGATATAAGCTACTTAATATTTTTTAATAAAATTTTCATTTCTGATTTACATGGAATAAAAATGTTGCTTACGTATTACGATAATATTTTTATTACGAAAAATTAATTTAAGATTTAACGATTTAGTAACGGCAAGAAAGTATCTTAAACAATATTGTTTAAGGTAAAACGTATAATTTGGATAATAGTTAGTGCTATTACGCATTCGATTATAAATAATGCCGTGGCGAGCAACGCAATAATATCTATATCGTAACGTTGATACCATGGTTTATCGCTGTCACTAAATCGAAGATGATTTACCCCTTTGTGACGCATCACGAATTCTACCCACCATATTAAATTTTCAGTGCTGTTATATGGTTGATTCTTGAAGAGAGAACTTAGGTACATCATCTTTTCTTTGTAACTACAAAGTAAATTAATAAATTCTCAATTTAACTGTATCAATAGTTAAAGAAAAACTTATTAATTTTTTAAGTATTATATAACAAAAACTGATCATAATATAACTTATATTAGTGTATATCTATTACATATTGACTTCTAAGAGAATTTTATATAAATGGAACAATTAAGATGTAAAAAAGAATTCAGAATTATTTCACCAAATTTGTTGTAAAATATTTGTTATACATCACAACTTTTAAATATAATATTACAGTATAAATGTGAATTGTCAATAAGAGATTACTGGTAATTCGTTTATATTGTAATATCATCTTCGAACATTATATCGATCCAGATACTAGTTTATAAACTAGTTTGTCAGTCATATATAATTGACGAAACCTAGATGGAAATTTGCATGTCAAGCATTTATGACTGACATCCAAATTTCAGGTAATCAACGTATTATATGCACATAATACCTTTTATCATTGAGGATTTGATAAATAGCACTATCAAGACGTTCCTTGGTTAATTCGTTAAATTTAATATATATTGCCGCACCCAACGAGACCAATCGTCGAACTCGATTTTCTTGTTCGGACATAGTCGGAATTCCTAAGATTGGAACCGCGTAATGGACAGCTTCTTCAGTACTTTGGGCCCCTCCTTGATAAATAAACAGCTTGATGTTCGGATGAGCTGCACGAACGAGATAATTAACGCTGCGCATCGTGTAAATGGACTATCGATCGCGGAATAATGACTTCACACTTTTAATTTTACCGAGTACGCCTTGCTGCAAAAACCATTCTGAGATAAATGCATTATCGAGCTTTTCCGGCAACTCGCAGTCGAATTTCCAAACTATTTTATAAGGTAACTTCGAAAACACTTCAACAATGTTCTTCAGCGTTTCTTTCGGTAAATCATGGCAAGTGGTAATAGTTCCAAAGCTCACGTAAATAAATCCTTCCATCGCGTCATCTAGGAATTGTCCTAAGTCCTTGTCATTGATTTAAGTTTATTACTCATGTTTATTAAGAAATAATGGAAGTAGGTAATAAGCAAATAGCTCGACGATATCTCAGAAGAATAATTGTTAATGATTACATACTTTTGGTAAAGATGGTGGTGTTTTTTGTATATGGATACCGTTAAAAAATATTGCGTTTGGCTGTTCGGGTCTGGGGTATGCAAGTATCGGGTTCTCATTGACTAACATCACACTCATGTTCTTCATTATGTCGACGATGTATGGTATATCGTTTCCGAGATATTTTTTAACGATTTCCTGCTCCACTGTTATGTAATTATTAATCCAATAATGAATAAGGCACCACGTGTCGATAAAGTTCCACAGTCTTTGCCAAATCGACGGATTTTCTTCAGGTAGTATATTAAATTCCCAGTTTGAAGGATGCGATGGATATATAGAACTACCAAAAATATATCGATGGTAATTGTGTATGTTCACAGATATAATTCCTAAGATATATATAATGTCACGGATTAATCGATATCAATCTTTTTTTTCATTACACATTTTGAGTATTCTTGTTTTAAGAGAAAAAGTCAATATTTTTACGCTTATGACGAGCAATGCATCTTTAAAATATTGACCATTTCTTGTATAATACATGTCATTTGCGAGATAACTTGTATATATTATTTGCAGAAATCATCTTACCTATAAGAGGAGCGTTAAATCTATACGCCATAGTAGATAGTGACATACAACCTAGTGATTCTAGAATAACCGCGTCGAACTTCTCATTGCTATCGTGTCTGTAGAGTTCTTTAAATTTTAGGTCTTCAAATATTTTTATGCTTACTTGATGTGATAACTTCCAAAAGAATTTGAGGAATTCGATCATCGGCAGTTGTGATACTAAATAGTAGTATTTGTTTATTTCATGTAAATCCAAACCAATTTCTGTATAATTTTTTAATGTCGAATCTTTTATTGGTTGTGGAGTTATCACGGTTAGTTCATGTCCACGTTTATTTAAGGCTAAGCACAACGCTCGGAAAACTACATGATGACTATAAAAAGGTGCAGGCGTAATCACGAGTATTCTTTCGGCATTCGTTATATCGTTTGCCAGTAGAAACCACAAAGATAATACGATAAACATTTTATAAATAACTTTCCACATTTTGCCACGGTCGTGAATGCTTTTCTAAAGTAGATTGTAGTATACTTTTGAAATTTATACGAGTTACTGGTATAAATATGTTGCTTAATGGCCATTATCAAGACTCAAAAGTTAGTTTTCAAGGCTTCCCCACCCAGATACTTCATAATTCTTTCATTATGCCATTCTTACTGACATAAATATAAAAAATTCATTGTATATTATCAGACATAATGTATATTATTTAAATGTATATATATAATATATATAGTATGTGCTTATATAAGACGCTGATAAATGTGATACAAAAAATAATTTAATTAAGATTTTATACTATCTTTTTAAACAGATTTGTTGTGTTAAAAAATAATTAAAAGACAAATTTTTTCTCTACGTTATTAACTTTATATATATATAAAAGAACATCCTATTTCAATTACAGCTTTTATTTAAAATATCATATATAATATAATTTAATATGATCTTAGAAGCTATACATGAAGACAGAAATCTTTAAGATAATTTACTGAAATTATTATTAGTATATGGAAACTAATGCATTTTTGGTTTAGTATAATAACATTAATATATTTTAATACTAAGAACTCTCTACCACAGCGAGTTCGATAATAATCGTAAATGAAATCGAAAAATCTGAAGTAGTGCCCATATAGAAATAAGGGATGCAATAAATAATACTATGGCGAGAAATCCGATGATGTCCCAGTCGTATCGTTGATACCACGGCTCATCGCCAAGACTATTTCGCAAGAAAGGTGTCCCATTTAGACGTATCACGTACTCAATCCACTGTACCGCATTTTGAAGACTGTCATACGGTGAATCCTTAAAGAGTTTACTCAGATGTTCCATTTGATTTTTGTACCTGAAAACAAAGAATAATGTTCTTACACATTTTAAGGCATAATAAAACTCTTATTTTTATATTACATCTATCAACATGTAATATAAGAAGGATAAAGTTATTTATTAATCTATGATTTAGACGGCATAATACAGTACCTCTTGTTGCTTATAACTTCATGTATACTGGCCATAATGCTTTTATTCGAAAGATTATCAATATGAAGTTGAATTCCAACACCTAGTCTTACTATATTTTGCACTTGATATATTTGATCCCATATAATGGGAAATCCTATTAATGGAATCCCGTAATAAATAGCTTCTTCAGTACTCTGTTGACCGCCTTGGTAAATAAATAGCTTGATATTTGGATGAGCTGTGAGCGAAAAAATTAGCACAAACTTCAGAGATTACTAATTCTAAGATAGAAATACAGAAATGGTTGAATTTAACCTTTAAATGCGCAATTTTTCGTAACATTCTAAGTATTTTTTCCTTTCTGCTAGGAAGGCCAAAGAAGGCCCTTAGAGATGTGCAAAGCAGCGCGTTTTCAGATCAAACTTCATAAGGGAGAGTACACGAAGCATCGAAAAGTTGCTTAAGTTGCTTTACATACATGCAAAGCTGCGCACTTAAAGGTTAAGACATTTGCACCCGTGATGTTACCGAGAATGCTTTGCTGAGGGAGCCAATTTAATGCCAGGATATTTTTAAATTTCTTGGGTAATAGATCAGGGTTAAATTTCCAAATAAATTTATACGGCAAAGCTGAGAATGCTTCAACGAAAGCTTCAAGCGCATTGTTTGGTAGGTCCTCCCATCTAACATTAGTTCCAAGACTGACGTAAATAAATCCTTCCTTCGCGTCGTCAAGGAATTGTTTTACATTCTATCGAATATAACGAGACTAATGGTTATGTAAATGCATAACACGGCACTATATATATAATAAAAATATATATAATAAATTTCATTTAAAGAGATCGGAAAAATAACATATACATATACATATATATATGTGTGTTATATATACTTCTGGCAGAGTATCTGGTGCTTTTGCAATATGAAAACCATGATAAAATATGACATTTGGTTGTTCGGGTTTGCCATGTAAAAACGTTGGATGTTTGTTTACAAGGTATATGCTCATGTTTCTCGTTATGTCGTCGATATGCGGCAGATCTTGTCCTAAGTACTCTTTCGCGATCGCATCCTCTATAACAGTATGTTCGTTCGCCCAGAAATACATCTGCCTCCACACTTCATAAAAGTTGACGAGTCTCCTCCAAAATGACATGTTTTTTTCAACTGGCGTATTGGTTTGCCAATTAGAAATATGCGATGGGAGAAGCAAAGATCCAAACGTATAGCGCAAATGATTGAATACGTCCGTGCTTGAAATACCTACGTGTCAGGTCACTTTTTATTGCCTCATGATATGCGGTTATAAAACGAGTAATTGTTCAAAACCAAATGTATTATAATCTAATTTATTAATTATATTAATATTGTCTTTTTGTTACCTATGAGAGGAGCGTTAAATCTGTATGCGAAAGCATTCATCGAAACTGTGGGACCCTGCGCTACAATAACTGCGTCAAAATGTTCGTTGCTACCAGGTGCATATAATTTTTTCATCTCTGGTTTTTTAAAAACTTCACGATTCAAGATGTGTAACGCAGCCCATACCATTCTTCGTTCTACTTCTAGAAGCTGTAACTTAAGGCTCGCCGTAGTAACGCTAGCATACGGTAGAAGCGTTTTATATTCGGGAAAATTATGATTATAAAAGTATTTTAAATCAATTTCTGTATAATTTGTTAAAGAAGAATTGTTTATAGGATCTGTGGTGACCGACACAATTTCATGACCTCGTCTGTGTAATTCTAACCATAAAGCGCGATAAGATATTTGATGGCTGTACGATGGAAAATTTGATATAGCTAGTATCCGTTTGGCACATATCACATTATACTGCACTATCACACACAAAAATGCAATTATGAAGGCTATACACGTTTTTGTCCACATTCTTCCAACGATCTCAGCCAATTGTACTGTCAAGGATGTATCAATGCGCTTATATTAACTATGCAACAGGCTATAATAGTATTCATGACAAAATAGTACAATACGAACTGTTTGAAATGCGCATAGAATGTACTTTTAAACAACGTAATTATCTAGTAATACATTAAGCATTGAATGATTAGTCAAATAGTGTGCAAATAGTGTTTGGCAAGCAACTTCGGCTTTATTTCTTTAAGTTTTAAATCTAAAGAGATTAGATACAATTTAAAAATTTTTTTCAATATCTCGATTAATATTGCGCACAGTTATCATATTATTACAGCTTGCATCTCGATTAATTATTTAGCTTAGCAATAATAAAATTTCAAACTTACAAGTTCGCATTATTGTAGTCGAGATATCGATTACAATATACAACATATATGTTTAGTTATTTATTATCATTAATATTTATTTTTGATTCGTGATAAAATTTATGCGATCGAACAACGATGTCGCAGTGATTAATGCGATTGCTGGCTCTTTACGACGTAAGTACCGTCGTGCAGGATATAAAATCGTTAAAATGGACGTGTGGACATTCTCATAAATCTGTCGTCCATAAATCCTGTTGAAATATATTTAAAAGCATGCTGTCCCCGATAACACAGGCGGCGATAAGTTTTCTCAGGTCGCTCGTTTCTTCATCTCTTGTTTCCGTATCGACTAAAGAGACCGTGTATCTTAATAAATTACGCATTAGCTGCCAGCGCTCCGACACAACGAACATCGTGTTTTTTTAATTTGAAAAGTTTCACGATTTTACACATTATTTATGTAGACGTATCACGAGAGAAAATCGAACTTTCATCCGCTAGATTGTACCGGCGTTATTTGCCCGTCCGAAAATGAGATACCGGATTTTTACATGTCTGAAATCCAAATATCAGTTTCATATTTGTTCGAAAAAGTTTACCGATGACGGAAAGCCGATATTAATTTTTAATAGACATGCTATTGCGCTTATTATGCGTTTAATGATAATAGAAATTTTATACAGGTATTATATCTTTCACATAAAAATTATCTGGATATTTATTAATGTCCAGAGAATTTAAACAATTATATTCCGACAGAATATGATAAATGTTTTAATAAGTTATTAATCCAAATGATAAATGTTTTAATAAGTT